CAAATGACTTCGGTGGAGCGCATCCTTGAATACAAGTACTTAATTAATTTTTTAATATCTTTGATATTTATTACTCCACGCCGCGTGCATTCTTTATACACCTGGATCGATCTACCATGGATATTTTGAAAAACATTAAATTCTAGGTTATACATCAATTTAAACTTATTTTATGAAGGGTAGTACAAAATAATAGTGTGGCGTAGAGGACTGAGAAAAAGTCCGTGCAGAGCAATCTCTCTCAAAATGTGACCCAATAAAATAACTGTTAATATATTTTCTGTTTCAACCTTTTTCCAGCAAAGTGGACAGCGAGCCTCCTCTCGAAAGTACTCCTGGTAAAAAGCCCAAGTCCGAATGGCCGCAGGAAGGCAAGATCGAGTTCAAGAACGTATTTTTGCGCTACGCACCGCTGGAGTCGCCGGTACTTAAGAATCTTAACTTCGTTATCTTTCCGCGGGAGAAAATTGGCATCGTTGGTAGAACCGGCGTTGGCAAGTCATCCTTAATCCAGGCTCTCTTCCGCCTGTCCGACATGGACGGTCTGATTGATATCGATGAAGTCGACACAAGCCAGATAGGCTTGCACGATTTGAGCTCCAAGAACAGTATTATCCCTCAAGAACCGTTCCTGTTCTCTGGCAGCCTGAGACGGAACCTCGATCCATTCGACTCGTATATGGACGAACCACTATGGAGGGCTCTTGAGGAGGTTGAGTTGAAGGAGATGGACTTGGAAGCCCACATCAATGAGGGCGGCTCCAATCTCAACGTCGGCCAACGGCAATTGGTCTGCTTGGCACGAGCTATTGTGAGGAACAATTCAATACTCGTGCTGGAGGCGACCGCGAATGTGGACCCGCGAACAGACGAACTCATCCAGACAACTATTAGGAAAAAATTCGAGAAGTGTACAGTGCCAACAATTGCTCACCGACTCAACACCGTTATGGACAGCGATCGTATTTTGGTGATGGACGCCGGAAACGTGGTGGTGAGTCAATTTTTAAGAATTTTTGTCTTTTTAAGAATTTTATAATTAGAGCGACCCATCGAATGAATTTAAGTAGGTCACAAAATCTTTCCTTTCTGTGGTTGTGAAAAATCAATGTAACTATGAATTTATCGGTCATTCTTGTGACATTTTGTACTTCTCTTTCCAGATTATGAAATTTATTTACATTCTTTTAAAGCAACATAAATTATAACTGGATTTATATTAATATTTTATTTTATGAATCCTGCGAATTTAATCTATGATCATTTTTGCATTGTTTCATTAGAGTTTTTGTTGAGTAAACCACTTAGTTGATACAGAATTACAAAATCTTTGACTATATAACTAATACTGATTACGTTAAGAAAATGCT